TTTACTCTCTCAAGTACGAAAAGAAATTTGTGCACATAGTCCAGCTTAAAATACATAAAAAAATAGTTCACGATGGCCGCAAAAATTACTCATGCGACGAGTGCGAGGAAAAATTTACGACCAAAAAAATTCACCGAGTCTCTGTTGTGACACTGGAAAACGTAGTTCATAAATGAGATGATAAAGATGGTAAAAATATTGCATATATTTCATTAGTAAAATAATGAAAAGCACTGAATTTTTCCTAAGACAATTGTAAATATGTGTAGATACTTACATAAATGATTTTAAATATAATAATTGACAAGTAAAATTTCAATAAAAATCTGGCCACTATTATTGATTACATCCAACATTTTTGAATAATTTGCTAAATATGTGTTTATTTCTTTTCGATTGATCTAGGTAATATTTAATTTTACACGAAAATCTGAAACCAAAAAAAAAATTATAACTATAATTGCTGCTTCTCCCCACCAATGAAACTCTGCATTGGCTTCAGTATTTTGTTATTTTCGACGCCGAAAATCACTCGTAGCTTATCAAAAAAAAAAAAAAAATCATTCGTGCAACGTCGCCGCGCGGCCTACATCGCGCGGCAATTATATTTATGCGTCGATGCGCGCAACGAATTATTCACTCGTTTTCCAGGTCGACCCATATAATTGACATTTGAAATTTTCAACGCTCGGCGCTGATTTTATTATAGAACGCCGGCGAAGCGCATCCTCTTGTATACATATTTATACGTGTATATTATACATTTACGCTGCTGTACGCGCTTACGTATATTTTAGAAATCGATTTCGTTACGCGCGACGACGAACGAGGCAAAGCGCGCAGGCAATATCGGGGCGCGCGTATAATATACGTATATGTGCGTAGCAGAGGGTGCTGCGCACATTTCGATCGACGAGCTTTGATAATGTTCCGAAATTACCATATGATCGTCGATAGCCGGAAGGCCAATTAAAACGGGTATATAACATTGCAAACGACCCCCCGTCCCTCGAGGTCTTGACAACTTGAAATGCACAGCTCCTCTTTATATTTCTCTCTGCGTGCGATGGCTCACACGCTTGGCGATCTCGTGTAATCCACACGCAAGCCTATATCGTTCAAAAATCTTTCATCCCGAAAAGCCTAGAGTAAAAAAATTGTTTATACGAGCACGAGCTCGAGCCGAGCGAGGAAAAGCTCCGAGAGATACGAGATAATGTGCCCACTCGAAACTTGGACTATTCCGTTTATAGGATATAGCTCTCTCTCTCTCTCTCTCTCTCTCTCTCTTGGCTGAGCTCTGTGTGTCGCGTCGCGCGCGTCGGTCCCCGGCATTTTTTATACTTCTTTCCTATCGCTCGCGAGCTCCGCGAGTTTATACATGCAGCGCGATATCGAAAAATCTTTATCCCATTTCGATTGCCGCCGCGCCCCGCGCGCTCATAGCGAACTGCGCGACGTACCGAGAAAAGATGGATACGGAAAGTTTTTCGTGGGCAGGAGAGAGAGAGAGAGAGAGAAATAGCCAATTACCATTGGAAATGTACAAGAACCGTCTAGGAAGTTTTTTGTAGGAATATAACTTGGCTCGGACTGCGGAAGAAGTTGATGGAAAGCTCGATATATACTACGCGAGAGAGAGAGAGAGCCTGATCATGCGTATGCTCGAAGTAAATTATATGGAGTGGTACGTATATACTTTATTTCGTATCCTAATACGTATCGGCCGAAGTTTTCAACCAAACGCGCGTACCTACACTCGAGCAACCATTCAGTAGTACTTTTTCTCTCTTTTTTCCAAATTTCGAAGACGCTAATGTATATAAACGCGTTATAATTCTCAAAAAAAAAAAAAATTATTCAAAAAATCAAATCTTTAAAGTGCCATTCGCCTCTGTCTATATACATAAAAAGTATATATCGTCGATTCTCCCGATTGTAACCATGCGGGTATATAATATATATGGCCCTGCGAGTGCAGCATTTGTGACTTTAGAGCTTCCACACACACACACAGCCAATCGTGAAAACGTCTAAAGTTTTTCGCTTAGCGCGATTTCCCTTCGGGCGTTTGCCACCATCGATATTCGACGTTCCTTTTTTTTTTTGCTTGCTTGCAGCCACCCCCTCTCTCTCTCTCACTCCCATTCTTTTTCTTTAACCCACTCGACATCTTCTTGCTCTCTCTCTCTCTCTCTCTTTCTCTCGATCCCTGCACTTTTCTATATCTCTCTGACACATTTTTCTTATCTCAAGAGGGCACAAAAGTCGGATGGTGCCTGTGTGCGGGAGAGGATATTTTTTTTTTTTTGCTCCTTTATACTTCATCCCCCGGTTTTTTTCCGAAATTTATTTCTAACTCGAGCGCGCGTGAAAAGAAGCTCTAATTAGATCGGACAATCGAGGTGCGCGCTTGCGCTCAGTGGAGCAAAAATTAATATCTCACGCTACGGTTTTTCTTCTTTCTTTTTTTTCGTTCGCAAGCGTGAATAAAAAATACGAATTTTCTTCCGATACATATAGAGACCAGTGGGAAAAGTTTCTCTCTTACTCTCGTTCGTCGGCGGCGGCGGCAACAGCAGTAGCTTCTCTCTTTCTGTGCCGTATACACACATATAGGCAATAGAGTCTCTTGCCCGTATTAATACACACATGCGGCAAAAATCCACACGTACACGGGGGTGTAGGTAAGGGAAAAAAGAAAACCGTCGCCCAGTCTGAACATGCATAAACTTTTAATTGCACGCGCGCGAAACGTTCGAAAACATACACACACACTGACCCGCGATATACACTTTATGATGCGAATATATGCACGTATACAAACCGTCGTTGTTGTTGTTGGTGGTGGTGGTGGTGGTTGTTGTACTTTTTTTTCTTTCTTTACCTTATATACACCGAGCTATGTAGCGTTGTTTGTTATGCTTCCTGTTTTTTTCATTATTCTACTCACTTTTACACACACGCTCCTTTTCTCTCGCTCGGCAGTTTGCTTTGCTCTCTTTATTGGTATGAACGTAATTACGGCAAGTACCGGCCGGCTGCTGCTGCTGCTGTGCTCTCGAAAAATGGTTCTGCTTTCCCTGTATGCGCGTATGTACATACTTTTCGCTTGGGGTTAATTTCTGAATTATCATTTTGTTGTTCGACGTGTAATTAATTGCGGTGGTGTACGTTGGGTAGGCAGAGCGAGAGAGAGAGAGAGAGAGAGAAAATATTTAATTAAATTTTAATGAATGCAGGGCTTGTGTTTTTGCGAAAGGAATTCTCACGTCGAGGTTATACTCACACACACACGGTAGAAGAGAGCTCACGGCGAGGATAATACGTAACGTTCGGTCGAGCGGCCAGGGTCAATAGAAGATTTTTAATCAAACAAACGAGTGAATTATTTTTATTTGAATTATCGTAATCCGCTGCACCACGCAGAGCTCGCTGTAAATATGGTCGGGGCTCTCCTCAATTTTTTTCGTTCCACTGAAATGGCAATGTGGGATTTCTGGAGCTGTAGTAACAAGGCGGAACAAATTATTATTTTTTTTATCTCACATGTTTATTTTTTATGTCTATTTATACAAACATTTTATCTTTTATTAACAGTTTTTCATGGTTGATTATAGTATTGAGATATTTAACCTAGTTAAGAGACGCATGGATATTTAACAGGAGAAAGTGTTTCTTTTTTTTTCTTCTTCTTCTTCTTGCCGCCGAATGTACAATGCCATTATACAACTACAATACTGAATTTTATAATACAAATTTTATTGTAGAGTACTATCGTTGTAGAAACCTGGGATTTTTCATTAAAACGTGTCGTCGCTGTGTTATATAATCAGTGATACAAATGAAATGAGAGGATAAGAGTGTCGATTACATCCCGATGAAAAACCCATACTATAAAAATAATAACATCGTATCTCGTGTTTTTTTCCCCACTTTATAATCTTTCCCTAATCGCGGATTGTTTCTTTTTTATTCCAGTCCGTAGGACTCGTGCTCGAGTCCTCCCGGACATGGCGATGATACAATACTAAACAATACCTCGTTTATATTATAAATCCTATCAACAACTTCGTAAATCTTATATAATTCATACCCTTATTAACCCAATTATAAAACGCTAAGAGACGAATCACACGTTTGATTTGTTACTTCTTTTTTTTTATATTTTTATACATAACATTCTTATTTTGAAGACTTTCAAGATATAGGGCAGTGGGGGGTTAGAGAGTTTCGTGATGAATAGGAAAAGACGAGTGAAGAGGGATAGAGAAAGAGATGTCTCAATGGAATACTTTTCTTGCTTTGTACGTGTTTTTTTTTTTATTCTCTTCGTGTATTTTACAAAATTATGAAGTTTCTGAACCCCTTTGCTCAGCACCGTCAGCCGGAAATACTTATCTTGATATAATTATTACAGTAGTAGATTTTTTTTATGTTAATTTTTAACTTCTTTCATCAGTTTTAGGCGCGCCGATATTGTTTAGCGATATTGGATATGATCTTGTAATAATTAATATTATTTTTTTATACTCATTCGTCCTCAATGTAACCCCCCTCGTCACGCATCATCGTCATTAAAATCCTATAGTAATTACGATTCAATAATATTCACGCTTCAACATGTAAACATTTTTCAATTTATTTAATCCTCTCTTCTCTTTTTTTTTTTAAGTAAGTATAGTTTAATAATATTTATCTCTATTTTTCTCTGCACTCCTCCCGTATTTCAATCAACTTTCATGGTGGATATAATAATTTTTCAAATACGTCATTTGTGGATGGCTTCAAGTCGGGATAACACACCTCGCGCGCTCCGCTTGTCATCAATTGTAAATTGATATGATATCTTTTTTATTTTATACTTTTATACTTTTCCGCATATCTCTGCGTATCATTAGTCTGAATAACGATGAGATTCTCTATGTATATTGTAACTGGGTTTTTTTTCGATTGTATTTTTTTCTTTTTAATATAATTATAATATGTTTTTTTTTTTGTAATATTTTTTTTTTGTTTTAATCATTTTTTTTTTACCGAAGATACACTCGCGAGGATCTTAAGAGCTAATTTTGATTTTGGAATGTCAATGGAGAGAGTTGTTGGCGACGTGCGTCGTGTGGATCGCATCAATGAAGATAGACGCTCGTGACAGCTCGGGTGGTGTGGGGCGGCAGATCGGGGGCCTCGGGCAGGGCCCCCTCGTACCCCTATGCGCTCAAGCCGAGCCGATGGATTTTGGCCGACAGAAAGTTGTGCAGCACGAAGACTATCGGCTTTGGACAGCTTTCCAGATCCAATTCCTGTGGAGATAATAGAGAAAAAAATCATTTTTTTCGCGTACCGTACCTTTGAGGATGATATATTTTTCAATGAAAATATTGAAAAAGTTCTTATTCAAGTTCTTGACATGGATCTTGTGTAAGATCTTACTTATAAATGAGTTCTTACTAATCTTATGTAAGATTTTATGTAAAATCAACAAAAAAGTTTTTTTCAGCTAATAATTTCAGCTTTGTCAAACAAGATTAATCCTTTTACAAGACGTAATAATTTTTTTGGCTATAGTCTTGGTCAAAATCTTACATAAGAATTCATATAAATTCTTACTCGAGTTCTTACGTAAGTTTGCGTTAAAAACTTGCGTCTTCATTGAAGTTATATAATAAACACTTACGATTTCCGTATCATCACCGATGAAGTCCAGCCAGAGCAATCTCGTGCCGTCGTCGGCGGACATTCTGAGCTTGTCGAAGGATCGCCGCCAGAGGGGCTGGTGGCCGCCCAGCGTCGCGGCCGAGCCGGCGACGAGGCCGTTGGTGGCACGCGTACCCGCCGCGTAGAGCGCGAAGCCCTCCTCGTGATGCACGACCAATTGACACGGTTTGCCTTGCCATAAGCAGCCTGCAACGAAACGGAGAGAGAAAAATAACAATTCGCATCGATATGGAAAACGATCGGCGATGGAATAACGAAAGAAGAGGAGAGAGAGAGGAACGAATGTAGAAAAAGGAAAAATAATGAACTGTTGTATGTCCATGTACAGTTGTCGATCGAAAGAGAGAGAGGCGCGATAATAACTGCCAGAATTCGAACGCGGGTCGTCGTAACACAAGTGCTCTTGCTGTGTTGTGTACGTGTGCAAATTCTATACACACAGCGAGAGAGAGACGAGCGCGCAAAAATAAAGATCGACGTGAAAAAGTCATCTGCGCGACGAGACACAACAACACACGCGGGTATAGCACGTATTGTATAATAGAGGTGTGCAGAGTATGCATATAGTATACAGCCGAGCGAGGATAACGTCGAGATTCGTCGGGAACATAACCCAGACAGGCACATTTCTCGTCTCTCTTTATCCATCCATCCTCCGAGCGAAGCTGCTGCTGCTACTGTCGCTCGTGCCAATCCACCGCCTGCCTGCACTGCCTCCCTTTCTCCCCCGCTATTCAGTACGTCGTTTATCGGACTCGTCGCGGAGGCAAATTGCCGTTCGTCCTACAAAATACTCTCTCTCTCTCGAGCTTCATCTCGTCGAACAAGCTGTTTCAAGCCGATCATCGCTGCGCTGCTGCTCCGCGTGCCTATATATATATGTATATAATACGTAACACGTGTCTGACGCGCGCGGCAGCAAAGTAAAAGAAGAGAGAGAGAGAGAGAGAGAGAAAAAGTTAAACGAGAGAAAATAGGGTGAATCTTGGAATTCGATTCGACGTATACGCGCGCGGATTTGTGCGCCCTGCAAAACTATGTACCGTTCAACTGCTGCCGTAATAGTACATACAACACCGCGGTTCATCCGATATACACGCGCACAGGCGGAGCACTCAATGTTTTACGCGACTGGCATGATACGCGCGCGATTGAATCTCCTTTTTTTTTTTATCCTCGAGTACGATTTATACATATACCATAGATAGACTGAAAATATATATGTTACATGAATTGTACGGTACTTACGAACTGTGTACTCTCTGAGCGAGTGGGCAGCCGCGTGGCAGCCCTGGACGATGGCGCGCGCCCAGGCGGCGAGGTCGCGCCTCGTCTCGGCGCGCAGATTGTGCGTGATCACGCCGTCGATCGTGCCGACGCGCACCGCGAACGTGGCTCCGTACTGCTGCTGCTGCTGGCTACCAGTAGTGATGCTGCTGCAAGCTGCTCCCTCGGGCTGCGGCTGCTGCTTCGCATTATTGGTGGTCGTGGTCGTCGACGAGACTAGCCTGTATTTGCATGACACACAAACGAATCGGAAAATTATTGCAAAAAGAAAAATCGTGGGTTAATCGAGTACACGTGTATTGGAAAAAAAGAGAGTTATTTTTCTTTCGAATGACCTTTTGGGAAATGTTATATAGCTCGTGTGCATACGCGAGCTTGCGCGCACGTATACATACGTATATAAGTCTCAAAGGGACGATCACCGGCGAGAGAGCTTGCGCGAGTAGTAATAGTAGCCCCCATCGGATCGTATGCGCGTCGAGCCAATAATCCCCTCGTCTACGTACATACACACAGACACGTATACAAGGAAAATACCATGCATATATTTGTAATACCAATTTCGAAAAAAATATATCCTATATACACGCGAGCGCGCGCGCACAGAGCTCAAATTAGCCATTAATGCGCGCATCTCTCGCACACGGCAGAGCGAGAGGGGCAGCAGCAGTCGAGCTTTTGTGCGAGTGCGTGCCATGCGTGAGCTTGCAGGTCTAGCGCGTATATACGGGTATATTTATACGAGATTAAACTAGGTGATAAAAGCCGCCAGTAGTCGAGCGCCGAAACTACATCATGCGAAATTGTATTGTATATACGCGAGCTAGGCTGCTGCTGCTGCTATCCACACACATACGCGCATAGGCGAGCTGTTATCAGTTCAGTCGCGTGTAAACGCGCGTGTGACTAGCTCGCACAGTAGTCGTTGTCATCTGCGCTTTGTACGTGTATGCGTGTACGTACGTATGTATGAATAAACACACAGGCGACGCACACACTCGCACGTACATATACACGGGGTAAATAACACCAGATATAGAGTAGAGAGAGAGAGAGAGAGAGAAACGCATCGGTGCTCGCGATCGGGGTAGAGAGAAAGTGCACGCGCAGCCGTGTGTACTACTTGATTATTGCACTCTTGAGAAAGGAAAAGGGCCAAGCCACCTATACGCCACCGTCGCGAGTGCGCGCGTTTCTCTGTGTGTGGTTATGGGTATAATGGCGTATAATAATACCGACAACTGTGTGTGTGCGTCTGTGTACACAGAGCTCGCGTAGCTATATTATACACATGTAGCTGACGTTCGATTTTTGTGCGCTCGTATAATACCGCAAATTACTGCTCTCTCTCTTTTTTTGCTCCCTTTAATTGAATTATGAGCAATCCCACGATTTTATCCCATTTATTTAATCCGGCCATTTCTACGCTGTTTTTTTTTTGTGTGTGCCTATAGAGAAAGATTCCATAAATAAAGCCTCGAACGCGGAGGAAAAAAGCTCGAGGGTCAAATACGGGGGTAGCCCATAAGTAAGGCAAGAGAAAGAGAGAGAGAGAGTGAAAAAAAAGGAAGCCAACTCAGAGCCACGGAAAGAAAGAGATAACTGCACTCACACACGGATAGATATGTTGAAATTCGACGCCTCTGTGCGAGCCAGCTCTAGCCTTCTCTCTCTCTCACTCGCTGTCCCTCCTCTCCCCCATGCCCGAACAGTACGACAAGGACGACGACGACGACGACGACGTGGTAAATAGAGGCATTGAACGAGAATGGATGGCTCTTTTGGAAAAGCAGCTCGCAGCAGTAGTAGAAGCAGCTTTTCTCTCTCTCTCTTTACGTATATAGCTCGCCGCGCGAGTGAGAAAGCCAGTAGCAGCAGCAGCAGCGCAAAGTGGCCGACACGCCGAAAAAGGGGCTATATAATACAAAAGGAGAGAAAGAAAGAAGAGACGGAGAAGAGATGCCTTAGGAACATTTTGAAGCCGTGGAGCAGCCGTGGAGATTGCGAAATCGAGACGAATAAGATGAGAAAAGGCTGTGTGTGTGAAATCACTTTCGGAGCCCAGAGAGAGAGAGAGTAGAGGGTGCGGCACGCATGGATGGCGTACAGCTCAGGCGAGCTCTTCAGGCTGGTAATAGCCCCTCGCAGAGAAGTGATTTGTTTTTCATCCGCGCGCGTGCACACAGACACCTCTGTATACATACATACACGCGCATATGGGCCAATTAGATCGGAAAAAAAGTTCCATACATATTTCAACTTTACGCGCGTCGATCGCGCGCGCGCGCTCGGAATTTTTTTACATATATATTTTATATTGTTAAAAAAAAAGAGAGAAAGAGAGAGGGAGATGCGAATAATATCATACCCAACGGGACGGATTTTTGGCTCCGACTGGCGTATATATAATAAATGGTACGTAGCGCGTAGCTTTCGTGAAATGCATTTGCCACGCGCGCCGGACTACGTCGAGAAAAAAATATTTGTCATCTTCTTTTATTTATATTTATATTTTTCATTTTTTTTATTCCATATCCATTCCGATATAAACAATGTCACGTGGTTATTTTTCTTTTTTTAGTTACGCTTTTGTTTTCATTCATTCGTCCTTTCTTTCGAACGAGGTATATGGCAAAAAAAAAAAAATAGTTTCAAATGCATTACACGCTTGTCAAGTCTATATAACGTATAGGTTTAAATGAATTTCATTTCTTTTTCATCCGGCCCGTCGAATTCCAGACGCCTGTACACGTACCTATACACATTCTATGTGTCTCCCTCGTTATAAAACTCTCATCGCCGCTGCGTCGTCGTTGTCGTCCCGTTATAAAGGGCTAGACGAGGGGGGCTTTGAATTTTAGCTCGATCCTTTCACAGTAAATAAGAATTAATTCGTACGAAAAAACAATTGCACTCATCGCGAGACATCAATTTTCTATTGATATAATAGATAAAAGCCCCTCGCCAAAACTCGAACGAGTTTCCTCGAAATATCATCGCGAAAATATCCGCGCCTGACAGAGGGCGAATTCAAGCTGATGTATACCATGAACGCGTCACGCGCGTCAGTGACACACGCGCGAGTTTTGCTCTAAAACAACAACAACAACAACGGCATCAACGACGACGACGACAACGGCAACACGAAAAGGGTAGGTTCTACCATGCGTTCGCACAATCGCGAATCTCTCGTGGGTATATGTATAGGGAAACACGAACTCGCGCTACTGCAACTGCCTTATCTTTGTGTCGTCTCTGAACTAAACATTCGCCCCCCGTGCTCCGATGCGCGGCGGTTATCTTTTTCTTGGAAAACCGCGTGTATTTATCATTATTATTATATTTGCGTATATTATGTCTGTCGGCGACGCTGTTGTCTCTTTTCCGTAGATTTACGATTTGCTAGCTGTACCCCCGGAATTAAAACGTCATTTGTACAAAACGGAAAATCCATCAGACTCGATCTCTCTCTCTCTCTCTCTCTCTACTCTCTCTTGGTATAAACTTCGACAAGCCGGTAAACATCGTGTGTTGGAAGGCTCTCCTGCTCCTCTCTCACTCGGCAAGTATAAGCACGCGCGCGTGCCCATCATCATCATGATCCTCGCGATCGCTCGCAAGCGCGCAAGTTCACTCGCTCCTAATAGTTATACAGAGAAATCGAAGCGACGGCGTCCGGGTCGGATCGGGGGGTCGGCCTTCAAGTCATTCATAGCCATCGCAACTTGGAATCAAGCGCCAAGTAAGCACAAAGTTTTCTCCTCTCTCTCTCTCTTACCATATATCCTTACTGCTTCTGCTGCCACTACCACCAGCACTGCAAAACTCGGACGGACTACTACTACTACTACTACTACTCGATATAGGCTATGGAGCAGCAGCTTTCGATTGAAACATTTGCATGTATATATACCGCAGGCCGCGCGCGTACCCCGTCTAACTCTTGTCGGGCGCCGTAGAGTGAGCCACGGCGCGCTGTGTGTGCTCGGGACAGCTTTCGAAAGTTTGCAGCAAGCAGCAGCGAACCTATATACATAGCAGCATATCCAACACTTCTCTGCGTGCGCTGGACCTGCCGCTCTGAGAGAGAGAGAGAGAGAGAGAGAGAGCTCGAAGGGGCTGCTGCTGCCGCGCGTCGAACCCTCCCTGATCGTTATGTATATGAAAATGGCAGTATCGATTGAAAGGTATATAGGGTGTGGGCCAAAAATAGGGAAAGGGATTAAATTAATCGCGTTATACTGTAAACTTCTCAATCGACGACGACGGCTATAAAGGACGTTGGCATCTTTCAGTGGTATAGCAGCGGCACGTCCTGTACACCAGCAGCATATAGTCACGTCGCTCTCGCTCGTTTCGTGAAATTATACGCAGCAGCAAGATGTTATATACATGCATAATACTGCTGGCGTGTATGGGCACGAAGCGCAGCAGCAGCAGCTAGTAGTATTACACATAGTGCAGCTCGTTTGGTCATACACACACACACACACACACACACACACACACATGTATACGAGCGAGATGCCAAACACGCAGTACGTACGTACGTATACGCATGAGGCAGACACGCGCGAATCATTGCGACAGCCGTCAGGGGATGCAGCGGCATATACGAGGCTTGTTTCTGATTGCCGCGTGCGTATTGTATAATGGAGACGTGCGGGTGTTTGTGCTGCTGCATATACTATCCCTTTCCGTATGTATCTCTCTCTCTAGCTCGCTGCATTTCTGCTGAAACAATATGTGCGCGCGAGAGAGCTGTGTATTCGCTGCTGCTGCATCTGCATCACGTATATGCACACGTACTACCAGTCGAAAGCTCGTATCTGTACGTCGATATACGAATTACGAGGATTATATCGTATATATATCGATCGAAAAAGTCTTGCGCTTTCTTTTTATTAATCGAAGATTATTATTGTAAGACGAGGGTTTGACGCCGCTGCTACGCCAGCGTAATCCTTGATATATACGTAATAATGTAACGACGAAGAATACGACGACGAAGCGTCAGGAATTTTACGAGGAATATAATCCTCCAAGCAGTCGCACACATACACACACACGTACAGGAGATAACCCATTAATTACATCGGAGTTGAAGGGGGGGAGAGGGCCATAATTGCTTTATTATCCTATTAAGGGAATAGGGCGCTCGCGCGCAACGTTTCATCGATATATATGTCGTAGTAAGTGTACGATGTGCTGCTGCTGCGGTGGCATCTGGTCGTCCACTCTAAGGTCATCATCCACAAGTGGCCACGCACACACCGCATCGACGACTATGACTACGACGACGACGACGACGTCGCGCCAATATATAATATAATTGTTAATCGATTTCTCGACGAAATGAGCTATTACCACTACCATCTATCTATCTATATATCTATAATAATATCGCCATCATCATCGTCGCAAATATACGTTACCTCGTGGCGATGAGGGGACAGGTGATGCTCGGCGACGCCCAGGCCTCCGGGCTCCAGGGCGCGCACTCGTACAGCCTGAGCTCGCGGCCCGACACCGCGGCGAACACGCTGCGCCAGCCACCGGCGCAATTGCTGCCGCCGCCCCCGCTCATGCTCATGCCGCTGGTGGTGCCGTAGAGGCGCGCGGACGCGCCCGCGACGTTGACGCCGCCACCGTCGTCGCTGCTCTCGCTGTTGGCACGGCCGTTCTGAAAGCAAAGAGAAAAACAAGGAGACGATGAGAAAAATATGTCATAAATGTGCAAAATAGTATAAGCCCTCCCGTGTTGTCTCGCGTTTTATATATACGTGGGTGTACATAACGCGTCGAGCGCAAGCAGCTCTCTTTGATCGCCGCAACGCTGGACGTAACTCGATCGCGCGTAGTTCTGCATCTCCTGTGTATATATAACGAGAGTTGTAATATACGCAAACAAGCGCGTACGTATACCGATGGCTTTTCTCGCACGCACTCGACGCGTTTGTACGTACTATAACCGCGGTACGTTACATAACGTTGATACGTATGCATCTAAAGCGAAAACCAAACGCACACGCGCGCGCGCGCTCGTTTTGAAGTTGAATACATATCGTACGGTGCTGCTGCGAATTTGATTGCGCGCAAACGTTCCGCGTGTGCGGCTTGGCAGCAATTTTGCGTACGATATGTACGTATACGTTGAAACTTAAGCCCTATGTGATAGCTAATTCGTGTATACGCGTGTAGCGCAGCGCACAACGAGGAATAGAAACGAAAAGAAGAGATGTAAAAACACAAAAATATTCTTTACTACGTGTCCAAAGCCAAACACGCGTATGTGCAACAGCTCTCGTCCGCGTGAGGGAAACCTTGTATAGTATACAGCAGTACCGTATATATCGCATTCAATCGCTAATTGACTGTGCAAGTACTACGTCGAATTCGCGGAGGCGGCGGTCACACACCCACACACACACATACACACGTTCGTTAAAATTAATTACTCGGGCGAGCGCGTGTAACAACACTACATATATGTATATATTTGCTATATATATATACAGCTAACGGGTATACATTTGCCGTACGTAGCCCTGTACACGGCAAAGTGATTGATTAATGGACAGAGGCAGCGAGAGAGAGAGACTGAGCAGGAGCCCTTCCATATATACTCCTTCGGCTTTTGAATATTCCGAGACACCTTTAACGTGCGCAGCAGCGGATATGTATGTATACCGCCGCTGCAAGCTTCTTAAGCGATTGATCGCTTCGATCGTGGGGGAGGGGGGAGATGGTAAACATCGACTCGACAAGTGCGCAGCGCAGCAGCAAAGACATACACCAGGTATAGAGAGAGAGAGAGAGAGAGAGAGGAGTATATTATACACGAGGAAGCTCTTCTCACTCTCTCTCACTCAGGGCGCCGAAGAGCTTTGCTTGGCATTACTAATGCACTGCGCCCGGGTGTCTATACGTCGATGGGCTTTGTGCGCGCGGTCAAGGCAATATCGTGGCGCTCGCCCCCATCCACCCACCCACTCTCGTAGAACATATGCCAAAGAGTATATATACGCGTGGTATAAGTGACCTCTCTGAGCTTTGCTTGGACCCGACGTAAGATGTTGTGTGGACCTATTTGCAAATGGATCGACGATGCTACTTTTGTGATTTGCTTGATTATAATGGTAGGATGAAGAAGCCAGCCCTAAAAAATCTAATTCATTTAATTCTGGACGAGTGAAATACGTACACCTCTATTGTCAAATGTTATTCGTTAATTATTTCCTGCATATGGTATTTGTTTACCATTATGTTAAAGATGCTATACGTTAAAAAATTCGTCAAATTTTACAATTTTTACGCTCGTCCAACATCTCTAGGTCTTCCTCGAAGTCGGGTGATTTAAAAGATGAGTAACATTTTCGTAACAAAATGCAAGTATTAATATTTCAGAATTTGTTTTTTACCGTAATAAAAGCTATCGTGTCTAAGCAGTCATATTTGATTGTGAGCTTTTCAATACTATCCACAGATGGAGTACCACAAACTCGTAAGTGGTAAAACACATTATCGATTACTTATCATTGGCAGCGCCCGAGCCTATAGAATCCACAGACATCGTGAGAAGCCATTCGATTTCTTTGCGATTAAAGATCCTTCCGAGATCTGTCAGTGGGCCCTCCCAATTCTTGAACTTGCACAGTTCTTCGTAAAGACGAAATCTTTTTGGATAAAAATTTCGCTCTTCTTTGCTCCTCCGACCGAAAAGTTTTCTTAACAATCTCAATAATTTGTCTGTATTGGCGACGCTTGTCTCGTTATCCATCTTTACGCACTAGTCAAATCGAGGCGCGTTTGATTTTATTAATACACTCGCTGTATACGAGAATACTTTGCGTACGTATACGAATCGAGACTAACTACGTGTGGCTCTGTTCTCTCAACTTTCTCACATATTCTCGAGATGAGTATAATACGAGTCCGAGCAATAGCGTAAACATGTATCATACAAAACGATATTTGAAAATGTTCACACAATTTAGATTTATGCCCTGGCAAGTAACAAACAAATCGCGGAAACTTATTGTCTGAGTTGAAACTTGTAATTAGTTTATTATCTTTTATTACATATAAACTTTTCAATCTGTTTCTTAAAAATTATTCAGAAAAGCTCTGTGGTGACTTCAAATTTATCAACATAAAGGTCACGACAGAGCCTTATCGTGAAATATTGAGTAGATGTCAGCAAACAAATTTAGGAGTATGATACGTTTTTTTAACAAGTTTTGACTTTATAAAATTATTTGAACTCTGTCGCTTGCAGATATACAGATAGAGGTACTCGCCATCTAGGGGTGGAATCTTGAGGTAATATAATCGTATCTAAAGAGGTTGAAAATTATTCTGAATTTTAAAACATTTACATATTTATTTGCATTTAAAATGCGCTTCAATCGTTTTAACACAAAAATTGCTAAAAATAAGCCAATTATTGGTGATGGTTTTGAAACATTTTAAATGATAATTTTTGGCAATAAAGACATAAATAAAATAAAAAAGTATAGAAACATTTAATTTTTTGCTATTTGTTGAAAGCTCAGATACTAAGTTCATCCATAAATGAATTCGAGAAACATCTTCAGCATATGATTTTCCTTCGAAAAAGCCGCGACGTCTTGAAATGACAAGTTTGAAAGTTTAAGAACGTCATTGATACGAGCCAATAGCCAGTACGCAAAGGCCAGTGTCTTCCGAGTGTCTATCGATCGATCGATACGTACGTTTATCGCGAATTTCCCAAAACAACAACAACAAAAAATCCTCCGCTACCCTCGTCTCGATGATCACGCCTCTAAGAAGTCATCCCTGCATAGCATATCCGTACGATGCGCACCCGCAGAGCACACGAATTGGAAAACATCGGAAGCGAGGCCGTAATGTATACCGGTCGGGATTCTTGATTGATGTTTGCTCAAGCGTATATTATCGCGCGCGCGCGCTCAAAGCTCCGGACACGTTCTCTCTGATATTTCGACGGCGTATATATACTATACAGCGCGCCACGATGCAAGTGATATTCGACCGCGCCTTGCCTCCTCTGACGCGAGGCACGCGTTCGATTACTCTAATGACAAGTATTTATATATACTCGTAATGATAATGCCTCTGGCAATGGAGATGAATTTACCGAGTTTTAGAGCGTATTCTTGTAAACTATAATGATATCCCTTAAAAATTGATGATTTTTAAGTGAAAATGTACCAATAGAAAAATGTACTGCATAATTATGTGAATTTTCAAACTTGAATACGGCTGATATTTTACGAAATTGAATGACTCGGCACTCGGTAGTTCAAAGATTATCGCTCGATGGCGTATGGTCAAATTATTGAAAACCAAAAGAGTAAAGGCAAGGTATCGGCATTAAGTGTTGTGAGCGGTGACTCTTAGTGTTGTAATGTAGATTTTCATGTTGGACGAGTAAAATACGTACACTTCATTATCAAATGTTATTTATCATGTTATTTATCAATGTTACTTATCATCAACAATGATGAAAATTAGTAAAATTCGAGATATACTGGAAATCGCACTAAATGATAATCTAGTTTGAAAAATGTTCTCATATTTTACTTAAATTTTTTATGTTTGTATTATCTTTCTAAAAGTTCGTGCAATTATATTATAATAAATAAAAAATCATATACATAATAAAATAATTTAAAATTTTTAAATTTACAAACTACGATTTCGTATTTTCTTTTTTTTTTATAAACTTTAAGCGGATCGGACAACGAAAAAAAAAGAGCCAAGAAGCATCGTGTTTTTTACTTCCAATAATAAATCTTCATTGTTTTTCAATCGAATATCGCTCACTCTCGACTCGTGTTCGCTCGCTCGTGCCGTGCTTGCGCCTTGCGCGCGCCTCGCTCGCTCGCTAATCTCATTAGGATAATCTTTGAGTTTTCTCAAGGTAAAACTTCCTCTTTAGCCGAGGTGTATTATAGCAAAAAGATCTTCCTTCCACGAGGTAGTATATACGCGCGGGAGCTTTCAGTAGCTCTAAAGAGAGAGAGAGAGAGACTACGACGACGACGACGATGTTAGCGCGTACATAGTCCTAATGTATTTTCCATTAGAAGTCTACGATGCGCATGAGCGAGTATGTGCATCCCATGTAAATGGTTAACGAGATTTTGCCTGCCGTGCATGTCTTTGCGCCGCGCGCGCGCTATTTGTTTTTGCGAGAGAGAGAGAGAGAGAGAAAAAGGCTTTTTTCCCTTTTACACACGTAGATATATAAAACCGAGGCGGAGAGCTTTTTTCTTATGTGCGGGGGCACGTAAACGCAGATATGTACGCGGCTGCTCCGAGGCTGGTGATTGATGTTTGTGGAGCGCGCGTACGCGTTCACGCGGACGAGAGCTGCACGAAGAACCGAAGTAGGCGCGCACACAGGAGAAAAAGGAAGCGAGCGCGGAAAATTTCGTTTGTAACCTCAACAATTAAAACGAGATATTATAATATTCGCGATAATAGGCGTATACGCGAGTCTGTATGCGTTACGCGTACCATGTGCGTACAACATCGCTGCGAAGAGAAAGAGAGAGAGAGAGAAAATATCCCTTTAAAAACTTAGCCGACACGCAACTTCGCTCAGCGCAAGAGAGAGAGGTAAAGAGCTTTCAGAAAGTTAACTGTTTTCGTTTATAAGGTTAAACTTACAGCTGGAGCTTGAGCCAGCGAACGAGCTTGCGCGCGAGAGTGAGAGAGAGAGAGAGAGAGAAAAAAAAAACCCTTGACAAACATTGCTCCAGTGCGGATACTTCAACAATAAATACTTATACAAACTTCCCTACACAACGGCACAGAGTAAAACTTGCGCGCTCTCTACGAATATCTATCTATATAAATTAAGTTTGCGCGCTGCTGCTGCTCCGGGTGTTATATAGCTTTGAAAATCAGTGCAAAGTGTGTGTGCGCGCGTATGAAAAAAAGCCAAGAGAGAGAGATAGAGAAGAAAGTAAAAGAAGAAAACAGGATGAAAAAAAGGAAGAAATACACTATATAGTTGTCTCGCAGTCGATTGTTCGATATAAAAGCGAGCCGCGCGCAAAACGCCCCGGTCGTGTGCAGCAGCGGCAACAGCAGCAGCTCTTCTTTCCTAGTCAAGTGCGAAAATGCAAACTCTCTCTCTCTTTTCACTGCGTCGACGACGACGAGGACGACGACGACTGCGACGAGGCTCGTTAGGTATTTATTCGTTGAAACTTGCCTTTCTCGGAGAGAGCAGCAAGGCAAGGCAGGCAAGCACAAGTCTCTGATTGTAGGTGCAGCCAAAGCTCTCCGAGCGTATACACATAAGACGACGAGCAGCAGCAGTGGTAGATGGTACGTGTGTACGTCTGCCTGCCTGCCTGTCTGTCTGTCTGTCCGTGTGTTAGAGCCTCCGAGAGAGATAGAGAGGATCCTGCGAGGCAGGAAAAACGCCGCGGCGCGCGCGCGTGAAACGTTCAAACGACGACGACGACGAGACTCCGTCGATGTTGACATGGGCTATATACGTTTTAGCTGTTTTAAATCCAAGAGAGCAAGAGAGAGAATCCTAGCAGTAGTCTCTGTACGCGCGCAAGCTCTCGCACAAGCTGCTGGTGTTTGCCCTTGCGCGCGCGCGCGCGCGACGTTCCGCATCGCTGCCTATCGCAGCTCCGTACGTACCCGCTTAAAAAGTTAAGCGCGTACATGCTTCATCCGTAATTTTGCCTTTTTTTTCTCTCTTCTACTCCATACCCTCGATTTTTCCTTTTTTTCCTTTTCCTTCGTTTTTTTTCTGCCTTATTTCTCTTGTCCACGGAGAGAGAGTGAAAATCCTTCGACTCTCGCACGCACTCGCGCAGGCAGACAGGCAGGCAGGCAGAGAAGTTCGGCGCTTCATGAGTCGTCCGCGCACCGTAGCAGTAGTGAAAAAAAAATTGTAATAACGAGAGAAACGAGTCAAAAAGGAAAAAAAGAAAAAAACAGAAACGAATACGAGAAAGAGCTCGTAATTAGAAGCTAGAATAACCCGGGCTTTTCCTTTTTTCTTCAAAAGAAGGAACATTTCCCCTCCGAGGAATTTGCATATTATTTTCATAACCCTCCGCTTTCTTTTTTATTTTGAAAACTCCGCGCGCAATTTTCAACAAACTGCGACAAAAATGTGTGCGTGCATTTTCACGCGCGGCGAATTTCCAAATCTTCGCATTATCCAAATTTCCTTTGCAAAGTCCGCGTTGCTAAGCGCGCGTGCCCCCCCAAAAAAAAGAAGGTTGTTTCGTGCGCCGAGCTGATATTCACGCGGGTTTTCACGAACAAAATGCGCGTAAGTACACCAAGCCGCGCAAAGTCATCGTCCCATCGTTAATCACGTTTAGTTCGCGCGCCCGTAATACATCATGTTTAGCTCGCGATATATAATAAACGCGCTTTTCCCTAAAAAGATATGTACTCGGCATCGTGTGCACGCGCTCGAGTTCATATCTTGCACCGGTTCGCGATGAAAAAGAGAGAAAAAAAAAATTGAAAGAAAATTCGCGAGCGTGTACGTGAAAAAACTTCTTTGACCGCGTTTGTGCCGTGGTACATGTACGGGATATACACACAGCTCTGTATATAGCTCACGCGGTGGAAAAATTTTTCACGTCGAGATTTCGAGCTTTTCTCCTCCCTGCAGCGACGTTTTCTAATACTCGCGAGAGAGAGAGAGAGAGAAAATGACGCGTCGGAGCTCGAGACGAAGATTGCCTCGCCTAGAGTCCTGCATCGCGGGTGTAATTTATTATACGTTTATTTGACGCTCCGATTTGTCTTCAGTTTTCTCGCTCTCTCTCTCTTTTAATTAAAACATTTCTAATCTATCTTTCGAAAAACCCTCGCGTAAAAACCGATCGTTCATGCGTTCACGAAAAATATGTACGCGTACGGCGTGTAAAGGGCACCTGCATCTATAATTGATCGGCGGCACTGATACACCTGATTGCGGGTCAACGCCTCGATTCGTGTATATATAATATATATCGATTATCATGCCACGCGTGCCTCGCGGGGCCGATGTACAACAACTATACGTACCTATACATAATTGTCCCCTAGCCCTGGTGCACTACCACCTATATGCGCGACGCGTATACGTATACGCACGACTGCTCAAACGGTCTTCCCGATGCATACGTGTAGGGCCCGTATTTGCTGTACGCGGCTAATGGCGTAATTAGCGGCCACGTATACGCGTTATCGTATACATACGCAGCGGGCCGGGGATATGCACATTTCGTCGAGGGCACGTCGAAAAATGTCGAAAATGTACGCGATATCGCCGAGTGCGAAACGAATGCGATTGCGAGCGACTCTGAAATTCGATTGTACGCAGAATGTACAGATGGTTGATTCTCCCGAAGTCTGCTTTATGCAAGTCTACATGCCATGTTCTTAAATAGTAATTATTCTATTGGAAATTTTTTTTACTTATAAAATAATTTACACTTTATCACTTGCAGTTTTGCAGTTAAAGGCACTCGCCATCTAGCGGTGGGAACAGACTTTAATTACAATTAAATTTTTATACTTTTTTTCAATCGATTATCCGTGAATGTTTAAATTCGAGTACAAATCTAAACCCTTTTCATTAATTTTTGCATCATTAAAACAACGATCGTAAATCAACGAAAAAAAAAAAAAAAAACATCTCCTCCTTCTATCCCCTTACCTGTATGCAGTGCCGCCTGGCCAGCCAGCCGATGTGTTGCAGCTGGGGCGGATCGGGCAGCGCCGACGCCAGCCTCAGCGCCTTGTGGGTGAGCGCGGCTAGCGCCGAGTGCAGCGCGTTGAACCAGACGTTGGCCTCGGCGCTGTCGGAGGCGCGCAGCCAGCACTCGTGCACGCCGTCTGGCGAGTGCAGCTCCAGCACGCGACCCTCTGCAAAACGATAAATTCGCACACGTTTACAAAGGCTTGAGTTAGAGGTTGAAGTCAGAGTGTGATACGTGTGTAAAAAAGTAAATGTTTATGCATATCGGGCGGGTGTGTGCGAGCCTTATTTCACCGAGAGAAATGCGGAATGATTAGAATTTCACGGTTCGAACGCAGCGCTGAAGTAGACACAGACACACACACACATCACACACAAATACTACGGCATACACATTGTAGTACATAGTAGTAGTGAGACTCTTCGCTTAATGGATTTCTCATTACGGTCCATGAGCTATGCAATACGCGAGAGAGAGAGAGAGAGAGAGAGAGAGACAGGGGTATAATAAAGGCACTATAACTTCCGTTGTCAAGTAGATGACAACTCAATTTCAAGTTAAGCTTGACGTACCTCGCGTGCTCTTGAAAGTTCCCCAAATGCCTCGCCTCTTGCCTGCACACCCACACACACACACACACATACCTATACATATAGATTCCGCGAGAAGCCCTGGCGCGTGGTATGCGCGAGCGTGCAGCGACGCGACGCCTCTCCTCCTCCTCCTGCTGCTGCTCCTGGCTTCTTTTATATAAAAGACATACCTGCGCCTATAATATACCTGGCGCGATCGCGAGCATGTGCCGGGCGGGGGGCTGGCAGCAGGGGGCGAGAGTAGTAGCGCGTTATATTTTCGGCAAGCACCTCCTGTATATTTATACATTCATCGAAAAAGGGAACGGGCTTGAGCGAGTAGTGCGCGCGCGCCATATCGTAACGAGGATTGCATCTGTCATCCGCGCGGCGCACGTGCCGCATGCGGAATATAACCGGGCTAGAGAGAGCTGATGGTTCCTCCTCGTTGCACAAAGAGGGTATACATGCGTGTGTGTATGTGCGCGCAATGCCGAGCCCTACTTGTTATGGGTATACGCGTATCGATGCGCCATATATATAACGCGTATATAATAATAATACAGGCGTCGTTGGCGATCAATTCGCACTGCGCGCCTACGGCGTTCGCACATATAACGATCTTTCTCGAACTGCAGCGTATATACGTGTATACCCAACCCCGGCAATTACTGCATACGTACCGATTGTTTCATCCTATATACGCGAATAAATGTACATCATATCGTGTGTGTGTATGTGTGTGGGCATGTATAGCGGCCGACGAACGTGACTTGATTTCAGAGCGGGTGAAGGCAGCGAAGGAAGGACGGGGGAGGGAGAAAGGGAGTCGCGTACGCCGGGAGCCCCGCTAGATGTCACGCGATCATTTTTGGACGACGCATTCATTGAATTGCCGCGGACGTGAAATAAAGGTGTCGAGAACAAAGATACTTCAATCGATTCGTCTAATTTATTCTGATATTACCATAACTCGGCTTTAAAAAACGATTACACTCAACAAATCCTGGATAATCAAATTGAAAATATGAAGTACACCATAAGCTGACTACTACGATATTGCTATTGCAAATCATGGTATATTAGAGCCCTTTGTTACAGAAAAAATTCATATAAAGCAATGTAAGAAAACATACATTTTTAAATTACATTTCATGATTTCATTTCGACAGTTGACAACGTAAGCCAAAGTGATTGGCCCGTCTATTATCAATATCGACTAGAACGGGAAGAAGGCTTGCACGACATGTTTCAGCTCGATGAACCCGATTCGCCGAAACTACTGTTTCCGCTTAACAGACGGCAATATACCGAGATGATTCTACGATCATATTGTAGACGATGGTCGAATCATTCAAGCTCAGAAAAATGTCAACTATTAATGCTTATCCACAAAGTTATCATTGTGGTAGCATTGAAGTGTAAAATTAGGATTGGTAGACTTACATAATGTATTTGCCATGTAAGGCTTTTTGTATAACTTAAAAATTTTATATAGTCACTTATTATTAATGACATGCTAATGGTAGCAAGAAATTAAATTGGTTAACAGAACCCTAACAAAGCCTCTTTTTCCTCCAACTAAATGCTAAAACTTTGCCTTTTCTCTTTTGGTTTACGAAAATTCGGCCATACGCCATCTAGCGGTAACTTATGAATAACTGCGTGCCTGAAAAATATCAATGTTGTTTAAACGTTTGTCGCTGTATTTTTCACTCAGTCGAAACTCTGCTTCCACCTTTCTTGCCTTGCTTTTCGTCTTGAAATGGTCACTCACAACAATATGTACATTAACCATTATGCCATTCAAAAGCTCGCCGTGAACTAATCGCTGAATATGAACAAGCACTCGATATATCGACGCTGTAACATTATGATTTATTGTTTACGGGTAAAATAATAAAAAGTGAATACAATTTGTTTTTACGAGTAATGAATAACCGGCAACATATATTTCAAAAACATAACATGTATTTTCAGACACGCTTCGAGCACGTTTTAATTTTTTATTCTCTACCAGTTGAAATTTCGGCTACTGCTTTTTTTAGTTACACCTGAAATTTTCATCTCAGTCGTCTCCAGACTCAGCCTGCTATTAGAGGCTATTTTAAAACTCTTCAATTTCCAGGTCAACGTTTTTTTTATAAGTAACAGAGTTCGTTAATGCAAAACGATGCAATACAAAATATTGCATGTGGCTCTTAATTTTTCTGATTTTGTTTATAAAAAGCATATCAACTGCACCGATCGTTTTACATTGTAACGTATTGTCATTCAATTTTTTTGAGTGGCAGATACGAGTCATTTTCAAAGAATAATCTCACCCAGCTTTATTTATTATTATTTTTTTTTTCCAACGAATTCCAACCGTTGTAACCCTTCCTCGTTTTTCAAGCGCTCCGAACGTCAGTTTTAAGTTTCCTTGTTGATATTAAAGCCAAGTGCTTTTACCGCTGGCACTTCTAGTGAATCCCATTCAAACGCTCTGCAAATATAAGCGAGAAATGCCACTACTACTACCCTACGTCTTATTCGTTCTTCGTCTTGTTTTCTCTCGCTCTCTGCGCCGACGGACAGTAGAAGCCTTGCACTTCTTTTTTTTCTCTCTCTCTCTAGCTCGCTCTCTATCTCTCTCTTTTCATATTTGCCCCGAGGATTTGAACTGAAAAAAATCTCTCGTTTAGAGCTAGCCCGCGCCTGATGCCCAGTGTAGTGAGAGCTGCTCGCTCTGTGTCTCACACGCGCCGAGCAGCAGCAGCAGCAGCAGAGATTTTTCAAGGATTAAAAGTTACGAACCCGTGACGAGCATGCGAAATTTTGTTCGCGTATATAAAAAAAAATGTTGACTCTTTGCGTAATCGTAATTATTCTTTTTTTTCAGTCTAGTTTTATTATTATTATTGTCATTTTTATTATTTTCTTTTCTTTTCGTTAACAATCGCAGCTACGGGGATTTCCAGATTTCGCAGTAGTTTAACGACTAAAGGGGTCACCAATTAAGCAACTCGAGACGGACACATGACAATTAATTATCGTTTCGATTCGCTGTCTGTAGCGCATTCCAATTTAGGCTTACAGCTATAAATTTAGACTTCACTTTATATCTCTCTCTCTCTCTCTTTCTCTCCGTCTATTAAAAATCCTCCAGCTCGTGCACGCGCGTTACCAATTCGGCAGAATCTTTCAACGGCTTCTCGTCGAATATTTTTTTTCTTTTTAACCCTCAAGCTCGCCCGCGTAGTGCACGCAGGTCACAATACGTCAAAGAGGAGTGTATAGTAGCGGTAGTAGTCGTCGTCTCGACGTACACGAAAATTATTATCGAGGCCTCACAATTTCCTTTAACCAAATTCATATATACTCGCGCCGTTGGTACGCGCGGAAACCCTATGAGTTCTTGCCTCGCTATAACGAGCGCGCACGCGAGTGCAAAATTATACGCGCAGCTGCCATGCATACCCATACCCAGAAAAGAGAGAGAAAGAGAGATCAACGAGCGCAAAGCGAGAGAGAGAAAGTCGAGACTCGGAGTCTATTAATTGAATTTCCCAGCGCTGTTTGCGTAATCATTTCTTTTTCCCGATATTCATCGGCATCGCGCCCCCGCGCGCATCACTTGTCTGGTATCGGGCGCGTTCATTAATAGTTATAAGATACATATCTGTGCACGCGGTGAGTGGTATCATCCTGCGCATGCGTAGCCACGTGTAGTCGCGTACTCATTTTTTTCATGTTTGCTAATTAGAGTGATCGATGGATTCAATTTTTTTTTGCACACTGCACTGTCTCTCATCTCTCTCTCTCTCTCTCTTAATTAAAAGTCCTGATGATTGCAGCAGCGTGTGGGGGCACTTACCGCGTACGCGATACGCTGAGAATCGCGCGCGCGACTGAAAAGATCAGCTTAAATTCGCGCACGTATTATTGTTACACGTGTGTGCGACTCGGTCGTGTGTGTATATGTGCGCGAATGACCCAGAGTATATGTATATAATGTTAGGGTTCAAATTTATTTTGATTTATGCCCTCGGCCCTATAACAGTTGGCAACGTCACGTGCTGTCTCGGGGCTCATAAATTACGTCTCTAGCTTCGAGCAGGTATACACACACACACACAAGCTTATATACGTTTAAAGGCCTCCGCTCGGTAGCTCTAACGAAAATTCAACGAATGTCAAAAGGATTATATGCACAGAGCCATTCATTACCAGATGACTACAAACGAGAGAGAGAGAGGGAGAAAGAGCGTACGCAAGCTTTTTTTTTCTCTCTCTCTCCCATATAGTGCGTATATATACATTCGCTCGTTAATACGCTTGCGAATAAATCCTTTTTTAAAACATATATAACAAAATATACGCGCGCGCGTATAAGGGTAGCATATGTCAGATTGTCCATATACGTATATGCGCGTACATGTGTATTTTCCATTTTACTCTCCCGTTCCTCTTTTTTTTTCCTTCATTTTTTCCATTCTATCAGTGCGTGCGTAGGCGGAAAAAAAAATCCGAAAAATAAATCCGTCGGTTATAACAACGTCCGATATGTATATACGTGTAACGGTACATCGACGCGGAGTCATTATTATCCAAA